ACCCCCCCCAGTGCCTCTCTCACTCTCAGCATTATATACCAGAGTGGTACATTTGCTAACATTAATGAATCTACGTTCACACATTAAAATTCTTCCTTTTTAAAGTAAAGATTAACCGAGGATGCTCTTTTAAAAACACTGGTTAATTGTAAATTAACCCCAAATGACACCTTAGGCAACCTTGATAGAGAAATTTACATGTTAGAAAAAGTCTTAAAAAGGAAATTCACAAAGGCTAAGAAAGACAGTTCCCTGGAATAGATGGAGTGTGACCATGGGCCAAGATCACACACAGGGAAGTGAACACCCATGTTGAAAGTGCCCCTCAGACTCCAATTAGGGACTTTTCTAAACCACATTAGCTCCTTTCCCAAATGATGAAATTGGGGAAATAACTTTTCTAGCTTGTTAGGACAAGTGATTAAAAGCCTTATTTTCCCCCCTCGAACTGTGCTTACAAAAGATGGTAATGGGGGAGGGTAAAGTGACTAAAATCTTATTAATTTGAAGTATAGGACTTCTGGGTCTCAGAAATATCATTGCAGTGTATCTGACTATTTCCCATTAATTTCATTTTCTCCCTCAGGTGTTTCAAGAATAAGAGGATGGTTCCCCAGAAAATGTGTGGAGAAGTGTCCCTGTGATGCTGAGGCAGATCGAGCCCCGGAGGGCGAGAAGAAAAACAGATAGCCACGATGACAACAGCGGTCCTTTAAGTCTGCCCCATTACTTGAAAACTGTACACACTACTAAAGAATTATGCAATGAGTCTACTCTGGTTAAGGTGTTCTTTTCCTCAAAGGTGCCCTAGTGCCATGATCTAAATACTTTTATGATCATTTTGAAATGGAGAAGCCATTCTGCATATGCCTTTGAATTCCTGCCCTTTTGCCACCTCTTTCATGTCCCAAAAGGAAAGACACTTCACCCAAGTAAGTCAGTTGCATTTTCTCTAGGGATTTTTATGTGCTGCACACTCTGGACCTCACCTGCAGATACTGTTCCCCCTCTGGCAGGAGCATCTGCATGTGATGCTTCTATCCCATTTCCCCCTCTGTTGATATTTCTTATGTAATATTCTAGATACGATAGAACTTAATTTGTCGGATTCGATATAAGCTGAAATTTTGTTACCTGTCTTTTAATAATGCTTATTTTGTCAAATCAAATAAAGATCAATGGATGTTCTCTAGAAATCATAGTGGTTTTTTTGTTTGTTTTTTGGTGACTGAAAACATTTGTCTTAGTTTCTTAAGGAAAAACTGCCCTGTTACCCAGTCAAAAATTGGCATCTTTAACAGTGAGTCTTAAGACACACATATTCGCCTCCATAAATAAACCCCCCCAATGGCATGTTGAGATCACAGCATTCTAGGAGACTTTCACCCTGGTGATATCGAGCTGCTCGTGTACACTTGACTCCAAACCTGACGCTGGTGTGGGTGGTAAGAATGCTGCTGGACTCCCTCCTGTTCCTAACGTCAAGCATGTCTAAACACACGAGTACAATGACAGAGGCCACCTATTTCAAAATCCTTCCCAAGGCAGGAACCTGAGCTTTGTGGGTCGGCCTTGTAACAGTTAATAAAGGAAGAGCACTTGGGAATTCAGCAGTTAATGAAACAAAACTCTGCCCCATTCCAGGGAGGGGTGTGGAGATAGACAAGTGACATACGTCAGCTGGAGTCAGGACTGTGAAGGCGGCAGGTGGGAGGGTCCGATGGAGGTGACGTTTGAAACACATGCGGACAAATTACATGCCTCTGGGAACTGCTGCATGTTAGGCAGAGACGACAAGCCCTGCAGGCCGGAGCGCGCCCGATGTTTCAGGAGCTGGCGCGGCCCGGGCAGGCGAGCTGGGAAGAGCCAGGGCCGTGGGAGAGCTCAAGGAGGCGGTCGGGCTAGACCACGGGGGAGGGCCTGTAGGACAACTCCGTCTTCCCCTTGTTTCAGCCACTGAATAGACATTTCTTCAACTTTCCAGGCGGGGAGTGTAAAAAACCAGGAACGTTCTTAACTCCAGTGAGAGGCCAGAAAGGACACCGGTCAAGATCAGTACGACAGACGGTAAAGGAGAGAACAAATCGGGCTCCACTGGCGTCTGGGCTCAGCTGGTCCTTGTTTTGTTCACAGCTGTGGGGTAAGAAGGCCTGGCCCTCTCCGTGTAGAAGTTTCCCGAGGTAGTTATCGAGCTTGGTTGCGTGCTAGAATCACCTGGGCACCTTTAAAAACCCAGTGCCTCGGCTGCACCCCAGGGCGCGTCCATCAAACCCCTGGGGCAGCACCAGGTGTTCGCGTCGCTAAACTCCCGGGTAATAGTAAGAGCGTGCGCCCCGTTAGAGCCGCTGCCTCCCCTGCTTACGTGGCCCCCATCTAAGGCCGGTTCTCATCGCCGTTAGTGAGGAAGGACATGCCACAAGGTAAGTATCCGCAATACTTTATTATTTTAAAAGCGTTACATTTACAAGCCGAAGCGACACGCATTGCCGGAGGGGGGGGAACCATAGTGGGAAGTGGAGGTCACGGTAGAAAAGGTCAGTCGGCTTCTTCCCAGAAGATAAGCATGTTGGGCAGGGTCAGGCTGCCCCATAGGTCTTTGTTCTCAGTTCACGAGGTTTTCCCTCAATGCTTTGCTTTGTTTACTGGAAAGTGCACTTGACATTGTTTCAGCTCCTTCCCCCACAGCTTCCAGCTTAGCAGCAAACTGTGGGGGACAGATGTCCTCAGCAGCAGTGTCCCTGCAGATAACACTTGAACATTCTTTCCGGACAACATGTCACAGGCCCAATTTTTCATTCTCCTGAGTCAGACAGACTAGAGAGGCTAGGGAATCTTCAGGATTGTGCACACAGACATCAGCGTACACGTAAGTACATGGAAGGAATCTGTCTCTCAGGTGTGATTAAGAGCAGTGATAGGTTAAGGCCTGGCCCAAGGTTGCGAAGATTTTGTGGAGTAGTTAGAAAACAGGAATCAGAAACAGCTTTTCAGGACTTAAACGGCTCTTAACTTGAACACGGGAAAGCCTAAGAGTTGGGACCTTTGACAAGGTCAGTTTTACTGGAAAACAACAAGAAAGAAGTCACAAAGGGCCGCTTTGGCTCTTGAGCTAGTGGTCACTTACACAGGTTGGAGATCATGAGGAAGAGACAAAATACGAGCGGACCTTGAAGAGAGGTATGTTGGTAAAAGCAGCCCGAAAACCTAAATGTCAGCAACATTTATGATGGGAAGGAGGTTTATTTAGTCCAGAGCTAAGCTTCCGTGTTACACGTCTCTCGGTATTTTTTTTTAAGTCCCCAAACTATAGTTATAATTTAGTAGGTAGAACAACAGGCAGGAGAAAAGACAAAAAGAAAGAACATAAGGTTAGCTTTTAATTCATATTCCCACAAGGCGGGCTACTCCGAGGCCTGTGTAGCCGCCAGTACCTGACCCTACTCCTGGATGTTCTCATACAGGCTGTTGATTTGGGCCTGAAAGTACTTGGAAAGCTCGCCCCGCTTTGCTTTCAATGTCGGCGTCAGGAGCCCATTTTCAATGGAAAACGGCTCTGGATGGATGTAGATGCTTTTGACCTGGAAGAGAAGGTGAACACGTACACGCGCGCTTGTTAGTGACCTGGACTTCTCGGCAGGGCCTCTAAGCGCTATGTGAAGAACCTTAAGGAACATCCCCTTATAAACCACGGCTGGGGAAGCGGTAGAAAGGACAGTAATGCAGGCCCATCCTCACGCACTTCCAGTTTGGGAAAGAAATGAGTAGGGAGAGGGGGAGTGAGTGCTGAACAGCAAAAAGGGGCTGTACAAATAATTACGGACGGTCGCTGCCGTGACCGTTAATGGGTTCATGGTGCAAACTCCAAAGCCAATTCCTTGGAAACTGTTCATTTAAGCCCACTATCAGTGCCACTCTCAAACTTCCTAGTATGACCTGAGGGACCAGGACAGCATCCGCGGTACACACCTGTTCGAAGGATTTAAGGCCGCCTTCTTTCCCAATTTTCTGCAAGTCTTCTAAAATGGCTTCCTTCACAGTCTAAGAAGAAAAAACAGGGCTAAAGCATGGCCATTTAGAAGAGAGCCTAAATGAAAGGCTGAACACGAACCGACCCAAAATGCCTACAAAACTTTTCTGTTTTCCAAATTCCCCCCACACACAAAATTCCTACAAAAACTTTCTATTTTCCAAATTTCCCCCCGACAAAGAACCTATTACTATAAAAAAAAATAGGGGTTTGTTGTTGTTGTTATTTTTAAACTCCTGGTCCTGTCCGCCTATCTAATGAAACCAGTCAGTCTACTTAGGGTCCAGCCACCTGCCACGGGCTTGGGAAGAGCCTGTGCTTCCAGACAGAAGGAACTCGGGGCGCCCAGACTGCTGGGGCCTCCCCTCGCCCATGATGGGCCCCAGGGGCATGTACAAAGCTTTGCTAAGTGACACTTACTTGGTTTTGGCACAGCTCTTCAAAGGAGCCCTTAACCCCAAGTTTGGCTGCGAATGAGGAAAGCACTTCTGCATCAGGAACCACCACGGCTACCAAGGATGACTGTGGAAAGGAAAGAAGGCCTGTGAGAACTACTGCGAGGGCGCCTCCCGGTGGGTAGAGAGGCAGGATCGCAGCTCGGAAATAGGCATTTCCCGAGACTCAGATGCAGTGCCACTGGTCTCTTTTCTCGCCAGAGTATTTCCAACTCGTGGAACTCTAATCCCATTTCCCCTGGCCTGCCGCCCAGCATGGCTCAGCGGTTGAGCATCAACCTAGGACCGAGGAGATCAAGGTTTGATTCCCAGTCAGGGCACATGCCCAGATGCCCAGGTTGCGGGCTCGATCCCCAGCAGAGGGCATGCAGGAGGCAGCCAGTCAATGACTCTCATCATTGATGTTTCTAGTTCTCANGGTGAACACGTACACGCGCGCTTGTTAGTGACCTGGACTTCTCGGCAGGGCCTCTAAGCGCTATGTGAAGAACCTTAAGGAACATCCCCTTATAAACCACGGCTGGGGAAGCGGTAGAAAGGACAGTAATGCAGGCCCATCCTCACGCACTTCCAGTTTGGGAAAGAAATGAGTAGGGAGAGGGGGAGTGAGTGCTGAACAGCAAAAAGGGGCTGTACAAATAATTACGGACGGTCGCTGCCGTGACCGTTAATGGGTTCATGGTGCAAACTCCAAAGCCAATTCCTTGGAAACTGTTCATTTAAGCCCACTATCAGTGCCACTCTCAAACTTCCTAGTATGACCTGAGGGACCAGGACAGCATCCGCGGTACACACCTGTTCGAAGGATTTAAGGCCGCCTTCTTTCCCAATTTTCTGCAAGTCTTCTAAAATGGCTTCCTTCACAGTCTAAGAAGAAAAAACAGGGCTAAAGCATGGCCATTTAGAAGAGAGCCTAAATGAAAGGCTGAACACGAACCGACCCAAAATGCCTACAAAACTTTTCTGTTTTCCAAATTCCCCCCACACACAAAATTCCTACAAAAACTTTCTATTTTCCAAATTTCCCCCCGACAAAGAACCTATTACTATAAAAAAAAATAGGGGTTTGTTGTTGTTGTTATTTTTAAACTCCTGGTCCTGTCCGCCTATCTAATGAAACCAGTCAGTCTACTTAGGGTCCAGCCACCTGCCACGGGCTTGGGAAGAGCCTGTGCTTCCAGACAGAAGGAACTCGGGGCGCCCAGACTGCTGGGGCCTCCCCTCGCCCATGATGGGCCCCAGGGGCATGTACAAAGCTTTGCTAAGTGACACTTACTTGGTTTTGGCACAGCTCTTCAAAGGAGCCCTTAACCCCAAGTTTGGCTGCGAATGAGGAAAGCACTTCTGCATCAGGAACCACCACGGCTACCAAGGATGACTGTGGAAAGGAAAGAAGGCCTGTGAGAACTACTGCGAGGGCGCCTCCCGGTGGGTAGAGAGGCAGGATCGCAGCTCGGAAATAGGCATTTCCCGAGACTCAGATGCAGTGCCACTGGTCTCTTTTCTCGCCAGAGTATTTCCAACTCGTGGAACTCTAATCCCATTTCCCCTGGCCTGCCGCCCAGCATGGCTCAGCGGTTGAGCATCAACCTAGGACCGAGGAGATCAAGGTTTGATTCCCAGTCAGGGCACATGCCCAGATGCCCAGGTTGCGGGCTCGATCCCCAGCAGAGGGCATGCAGGAGGCAGCCAGTCAATGACTCTCATCATTGATGTTTCTAGTTCTCACTCCCTCTCCCTTCCTCTCTCTCTGAAATCAATAAAGATATATTTTAAAAATAAATAAAGTATCCCTGACCTGTCCCTATCAACCCTCCCCAGTCTCCAAAAGCTAAGTCTAAGCACAGTGTATATAAAAAAAGGTTTATGCCAAAGGACTTCTATTGCAGTGGGAACTAAATTCAACGTACATCTCTTTTTACTGCATGGCTACCCTTTAGTATGACTGTTGGACAATTCTACTGACTTGTTTATGGAGTCCATGCTAGTTTCAAACAAATTATTTTCGTTTATATTGCCTTATTTGAGGTTTGGAACGTGGCTTTGTGTCTTTAGTTCCATAAGCTGATACCTTCTCATCCTGAGCAGATTTCCCGAAGCCACTAGAAGCTGCATGGTCTGTACCTAGAAATGGGCTGTCATTAAAACAAACATATTACCCGTAAGCTTTCCCCATGCACAAAAATTTGCAGCACCGGTCTACTTCTGTGGTAGACGTTTTCTATCTTCTCTGGAGCGATGTATTCTCCTTGGGCCAGCTTGAAAATGTTCTTTTTACGGTCAGTGATCTTCAGAGTTCCGTCCTATATGAGACAGACAGGAGACAGCGTCAGTGATTTTGAGCCCTCTGTGGGTGGTGTCAGTGGAGAAAGTAGTGAAGTCACAGGTCTCTTCCTTCCTTATAATTGACTTTCGAGCTGTCTTCCACTTCCCATTCTTGGCTTTGAGGAAAGGGGAGGGAAGCAGCTTCCAGCAAGAGCCTGGGCTATTGGAGAGTCAATGTGCACCTAAGAAGAGGTCCCCAGGACTGCTGGGGTTATGTAAACTGTTGCCCCAGCTACTGAAGAAATTTTGCAGCTGTAACTTTCTAATCACTTAATTTCCAGTTACTCCATTTCCAGCACTCCCGGAAATAGGGAAGGAATGATCTTATATTAAGATTTTTGAATAAGTTAGATCTTCCCTCTCCTTGACTCTGTTCTATGTATGCCTTCTGTTAGATTTGGGAGCAGGCTGAAGAGCTCCACTGTGCTAAGGCTAATCAAGCAAGTCAATAATTGTGCTTGTTAGGGCAGAAGCAGGGCCGGGGAGGACTCTGACCAGCCACCAGAGGTCATTTGATGTCTCTGAGCTAATTGGTCTGAGGAGCTTAGGTTCTTAGGGATTTGAATTCGGACGACAGTCAAATACAATCCACATGATCACCCCCTAAGTAGGGCAGCGGACTGAACCAACCCTTGAACCATCAACAAGGCTGACTCAAGAAATCAGCCATCAGTTCAGCCTAACAGGCATTACCTGAAAGTGATTAATAAGGCTCTAGGGTGGGGATACATCTATTGCCTTCATTCTATGCTCATTAGAGCTGAGAACTCTTATACAGAAACAGATAAGTTAGCACCATACTACTAGACCCAAGTCTATGAAATGCACCATCAGGACCAGTGTTCTTGAAGTTCTCACCAAACGTTCTGTGAACGTCACTTAAATCTTGAGACTATGGAGTCAGAAAGGAGCTTCAGATTTGGCTACATTCCCCACTCTCCCAGCACACAGTAGACAATTTTTCAGGGAGGAGACCTTGGAAAATCCCCTGCAGGGCTTCTAAGTATTCATCACAATTATGTAATCGTTTCCTCTCTTAGATAGGGTTGACAGAGACTACTGGTCATTGTTTGTTAGCAAGCTATGCTTAAAAAAATGTTCCTGTATATTCCACAGAGAGAGGCAGCAAAGGCCACTGAGAGGAAAAACCGAGCCTCTGCATATGCCTAGTTAAGAAATCTTGCTTCCTTCTTTTGATATGTCTCTACATATTACATGGAAAGAAACACATCCCTTTGAAACTTATAAAAGGCAAATGTTATAAGCCCATGGAGTTATCAAATCACAACTTCCTCCTCAAGAAAAGTAAACGAACAAAAATAACCCAGACTACTACACTCCGTTCCTGAAAAAGTCACCTAATTTTCCTTCGGCTGTATGCAAATCCATTCCATTGTCACGGGAGTCATGCCAAGTCAGCTGATCATCCCACTCACATCTCTGCCCAGTTTGTTGATAAGCACATGGTTCTCCCCAGTCCAGCAGCATAGACTCCCAGAGGTTTGAAAGAAACACCCACCGGGAGCCAGCGACCAATGTCTCCCGTGTGAAGCCAGCCATCTTTGTCCAGGGCTTCAGCTGTCTTCTCGGGGTCCTTCAAGTATCCTTTGAACACGTTGACACCCTTGATGCAGATCTGCACATAAGATGGTACAAAGTGATGACAAAGCAAAGGCTACCACTCCCGGCATGGGTACTTTACAAAACACCTGCTCCCGCCCTTAGATCATTTGATGGTTTCAACTACAGTTTGAAGAGCACCCAACTGTAATCCCTATTGTGGGCGGATAGGAAAGCAAGGTTCAGAAATTCAGTCCCTAGCTCAAGATCTCAAAAGAGTCAAACACAAGCCCGCTCACAATTGTGTTCTTCTTGATATAAATATCCCCACCATGACTGCCTTGCCACGGCTACTGAGTGCAACCTACTCACCTCTCCTTCACCATTCACTGAGAAGTAGTTCATGTCTGGTACATCTTCCAGCTTCACATGATTGCAAGCGAGGGGGACTCCAACATGGCCTAGAACACACCACACTGAGTCAGCTGGGAAACCATGAAATGGTGATAATTCCAGGCATATTTCAGAGATATGTATAGATTGACTCTAAAAGTAAAAAGACTGAAAAATCACCGGCCAAGATAGAAAGGCCTGGACCAAAACCTGAGTTGGCTTTGGCTGCATTCACCTGGAGCACGAAGGTTTTCTAAACTCATGAGTCCAAGTTCAGTTAGAACCCTTCTCCCAGCCACTGCACCTCCTGCCCAGCAGGCGGAGAACCTACCTGGTCTCCAGTCCCCAGGGGATGTAAATGTGCAGCCAGCAGTGCATTCTGTTTGACCATAAGCTTCAAACACCTGGGAAAACCAAAGAAGGGCTTTGAGACTGACTCAAGATAAAGCAGGAGCAGGTGATGCCCTGTGGCAGAAGAGGAGAGCAAGGTTTCTGAGGGTTGGAGGACACTTAGTGTCGTAATACCTTCAGCTCATGCCTGAGCTGCTAAGTCTTTACAGCTGGGGGTTCACTCAAAAAACAAAAGGGTCCAGAAATAGACCGAAGTATGGAAACTTACATTGTACTTTGGGAAATGTGACTTTTCAAGTTGAGGGGGAAATGAGAGCTTTTCAATAAAAGTTGAGACTAGGAAAAATATTTCTAACACAACGAAAATGAGTATTATTACTACATGAAGAACTCTTAGGAGGTGATGTGAGAGAGAACCAACTTCCCCTTTGCTTAGTTTTCTGTAAGGAAGTAATAGAGTGATTTGTGGAAGAAATACAAGGGCCAATAAGCGATAGAAAAGATGTTGAGTGTTAATAAAAGAAACAAGACCCCAATAAGGTTGTTCATGTATTTGATGGGCTAAGATTTAAATGACTGAGAAAGCCTTAGGATGTGGGAAAATAAGACCTCATGAATTATTTGCAAAAAACAAATAAAAAAGACAAGATCATACTGATGGGAAATTTGATAATCTACATTAACGTGTTCAACAAACCCAAAATGTATACTTTGAGCCAGTAACTCTCCTTGGATGAATCCCAAATTGATAATTGCATTAAATACTAAAGGATATACAGGTATCCTAATCACTTCATTGATTATAACAGCAGCAAAAAAAAAAAAAAAAAAAAAAAAGGTAAACAATTCATGTCCATCAATAGCAGACTAGTTTAGATTTTTATTTGACAAGGAACAGTGTTGACAGGCACTATTTAACAAGTATTTTAGAGCCCTGATGCCTTTTATGTAAAGGTTTCCATGCACAGATGCATAAGAGGTGACTAGAAGGATATTTTCTCCTGATATTGAGATTTTTGGGTGACTCTCTCTTGGGTAATCTTCAGTTGTGTTTTCAATTTTATTTAAACAGTGAGCCTTAGTTGTTGCAAAAGTGAAATAAGCTATCTTTAAAGGTGCGTGTCTTACCGGACATCCCATTGCCGCCCGGAGGAACTCCAAGACTGGAGAGGAGATGGGGGCAGCTCCAGTGACCATAATGCGAACCTTTCCACCCAGGTTGTTCTGTTCAGTGGAAATAAAAAACCTGCTGAAGCCTCTCCCCTTGGCTTCATTTTCCTCCATTGCAAAGTGGGTTGAACCACCTACCCACTGTTTTGAGAATTAAACTTGGTAATTTACAAAGCACTTAGAAATGGACCTGGCATTGTGGGAACACATTTAAAATTTTAGCTATTATTGTCACCGCTGTCTACTATTTAAAATTTCCTCCTATAATNTTAAAAAAAAAAAAAAAAAAAAAAAAAAAAAAAAAAAGGTAAACAATTCATGTCCATCAATAGCAGACTAGTTTAGATTTTTATTTGACAAGGAACAGTGTTGACAGGCACTATTTAACAAGTATTTTAGAGCCCTGATGCCTTTTATGTAAAGGTTTCCATGCACAGATGCATAAGAGGTGACTAGAAGGATATTTTCTCCTGATATTGAGATTTTTGGGTGACTCTCTCTTGGGTAATCTTCAGTTGTGTTTTCAATTTTATTTAAACAGTGAGCCTTAGTTGTTGCAAAAGTGAAATAAGCTATCTTTAAAGGTGCGTGTCTTACCGGACATCCCATTGCCGCCCGGAGGAACTCCAAGACTGGAGAGGAGATGGGGGCAGCTCCAGTGACCATAATGCGAACCTTTCCACCCAGGTTGTTCTGTTCAGTGGAAATAAAAAACCTGCTGAAGCCTCTCCCCTTGGCTTCATTTTCCTCCATTGCAAAGTGGGTTGAACCACCTACCCACTGTTTTGAGAATTAAACTTGGTAATTTACAAAGCACTTAGAAATGGACCTGGCATTGTGGGAACACATTTAAAATTTTAGCTATTATTGTCACCGCTGTCTACTATTTAAAATTTCCTCCTATAATTTGTATTTTTGGTCCCTTTGAATTACTTATAATCTCAACAGACCACCCTTAAAAAATATGAGAAATTGCTAGAACGTAAGTAAAATCTGTTTTGAACAATTCCCTTTAGTGACATAATTGTCCGGGAGAGATCTCAAACTGTGAGTGAGCACAGGGAGTATGAAGGGATCTCCAGTTAAAGAGATGCTTGGCCATCAGGGGGAAAGCAATATCTGCAGAGTCAGTGGGCAGCCTAGATGTTTGCCCGGCTCTGTCCAGGACCCACCCAACCTACCTGGATCTTTGCAAAGATGAGCTTGTCCCACAGACTGTTGCGTCTGATGATACCCCTTTTCACTTCACCGAATTTACTGGAAATAGCCAAGTTCAACAAGAACTTCTTCAAGGGTGTTTTGGCTTCATTTTGAACCTGCGGGGCAATAACTCCATTTAGTTGGAAACCTATTAGAGACACTCACCAAGGCTCATCTGGGAACAAGAGATGCTGCCGTCTAGCTTCATAAGGAAGCAGCTCTCAATCATGAGCTGGTTTGCTGAGTAATAAAGAGCCCAGAGAATTATGTCCATACTAAAAAAAAAAAAAAAAGAAAACTTAGTACATACATTCAGAGCTCCAGTTTAACAGTATAGAGTCCCTAAGAGCTCGTGAGGCCTGAGCCACAGACAGTCCCTTCATCCCATGGTCAGCCCAGCAGAAGCAAGCTCAGTACCTTATCGTAGATCCTGTTGAGGAGCCGAGGCACCACGGGGAACATTGTGGGCTGCAGGGTCTTCATGTCATCGGGCAGCAGCCGAATATCTCCCTGGAAGAACCCGACTCTGGCTCCACAAGAGTACGTGACAACCTAAACACAAAACGGAAGAAAAGGGCTGAGAGCCAAAGGACCACTTCAGGGGGCAGCAGAGAGAGGATTTTCCACTCCCGCCACCGCCGGTGTCTTTGAAAGGCCAGCATTGCTTTCAGCCCTCAAATCGGCCTCAGCACAGCCCGAAAAGCCTGGAGTCCACTCCCAGGCGGGCAGCTCTCCTCCCGGGCACACGATGCTGAACAACCTCCCCTTAGACACTCTGGACACCTCACCTGGACCAAATGCTGCTTCTCTGCCCCTCTGTGGGGAACTGCCTTTTCTCTAACTCCTAGATCTTTTCAAAAACTCTAGCCCAAGTAAAATTAAAAAGAAGACAAACATCTCCTCTCGCAGGTCAGAATGAAGGGTCAGAGGTCAGCTCCTGGCTCTGACCTCGCTCCACTCGCAGGCACCTGTGTGAAGGCGGGAGCAAGCTGAGCCCCACCGGACACGCAGGCTTAGCAGAGGAAGGTGCCACGCGGGGCAGGGGCAGGCGGGCACTCGGACTCCGCTGTGCCTTCTCCTTGCCTGGGCCCTTCCCCTTAAAGAAGGGACTGTAGACGTTGGACAGCTGCCTTTGGAATAGACGTGGGACTAGCAAGTGAGGACTCCCTTTCCACATCCCTGCCAGGGCCACCGGGCACTCACCTGTACAACCCTCTCAAACATATGAGCCAGGGGGAGGTAGGATATGCTCACATCCTCAGGGGTGGGCGCAAAGGTGTCCTGCAGACCAGGAAGAGGAGACAAATTGGAGTAATGCCAGCCCCTCCCAAAGAGATTAAAGAACTACCCCTATTAACTATAGTTAATAATCTTCTGCTGCATACTTGAGAGTCGATCTTAGAAGTTCTTGTCACAAGAAAAAAGTAAGTATGTGTGGCGATGGATGTCAGGATCGTTTTGCAATACATACAAATACTGAATCATTATGTTGTACATCTGAAACTATTATAATGCTAGGTGTCAAAGGTATCTCATTTGAAATTAAAAATATATATTTTTTAAAAACTGCTTCCTTCCAGGAGTGCCCTGTGCAGTCGTGCAGGGGAGCGGGGGGTGCAGAACCATGGGCGGTGCCCCTGACTGTGTGGGTGTAGAGGTCTGCAGGGATCCTCAAAGACCAAGGCTTGATGGAAAATGCACAGTCCCCCACTCAAAGATGCACAAATGGTTGTCCACACTCAGGCCCTCGACCTGGCTTTTTATCTCTCTCTGCCTTCTCTAGCTTCAAGATTAAAATCTCATGACAGATTCACATTCTAATGACGACCTCTTTCTCTATTGACCACTGACCTCCACGCATTTGAGAAAAGCTGCAGCGTTTGAAACCACATTTTGATGGGTTATCATGGCTCCTTTGGGGTCACCTGTAGGAAACAGGAGGTGGAAAGATCCTTTAGCTAATAGGCAACCTTTGGCTTTAAAATACGAAGCGACATTCAGTGAGTTCTGTTCCAGAGAGCCAGGAGCTTCTCCTGCCACTGTCTCTGTATGAATGGTACATGACTCTGTGTATGAATGAGTAATGCCCCCAGAGGCTCTACTGCTGACAGCCCTCTACCTTCACACAGGGCTCAGCCATAGCTCAGATAGCAACACAGTAGGAAAGGAAAATCCAAGTTACTCTTCCCCACCCCGGGCTGTTTTTATGTTGAAGACTTTAGATCTAACAATATTATCGAGTTACCACCTTACCAACTGGGCAGAATGCATCACGGGCCACATTAAAAGCTATTAGGGTTCTAATAGCTAGCTGCCAGGTGGGGGTAGGGTGCACAGTGATCTGGGTACAACTATCGCTGGGTTATCTTGATTGAATGACCATTCTAGTGGTGTCAAATGGAAAGAGCAGTGGGTTGGGGGAAAAGGTTGACCGAAAGAATAACCCATCTGAAATCCAGAGCATGTAGATGCCTCCCAGTATGTTCAACGAACTCTATCTGCTATGCTTACAGTTTTCTACCTGGGTATTCATACTCAAAAGCCTTAGGTGGTAAGCTCTAAGGATTATGGTTCATTGCAGGGTTTACTGACCAGCCTACCAGTGGTCAGTGACTCAAGCCATGTTTTCGGCTAACCCGAGGCCTCTGGGACAGCTTCATGGGCACTGACCTGTGGTCCCACTGGTGAAGCAGATGATACCCAGGTCTTCCGGTTCAGGAGGCTGGAGGGGGAAGCACAAGGGCTTAGTCTACAGGAAGCTCTGGGAGTCCAGTGCACAAGATTCAAATTCGGGCAGGAGAAAACTTACCACAGGTTTTTTGAAATTCTCTTTGCCTATATTCTAAATGAGCAGAAAACCAAGAAAGAAAGAAAGACATTAGTTGATATGGAGAGACTGGTGACAAATCCAGCCCCCTCCCTTTGTCATGAGAGCACGTCTGCGGGAATATAACCAAAATTTCAACTGGATCAGGCCCAGAAACTATGGAAAAGCATAAGGTTCATCTAGATTGTAAATCTTAAGAGGGTGGATTCCAAATGTCCAAACTTCCCACCATACTCTTAGGTTCAGTCATCTAGGACCATTGCTAAATCTTTTTGAATAATATATATAGTTGACATTTCAAGGCTTAGTACATACCAGTCACTGTCCTGAGTTACAGTTAACTCTAACTCCTCTGTGAGGTAGGGACTGTTTATCTTCATTTTACGGAAGGGAAAGGGAGATATGGAGTAACTTGTCCAAGGCCCCCTAACTAATAGTGCCTCTCTCCAGGACCATATCCTCAGCTACCACCAACCACTGCACTTATAAATTCTCTACTTGGAAGTCTGTGCATGCTGGCCACAGATTGTCTCCTTCCAGGGCATGGTTTCTGGGTTGTCTTGGGGAAATTATTCTCGACTCTTCGCAGCATGAGTCTAACTTGCTCCTGTCCTGCCACCCTGGAGAACAGCAGCCTGAGCTCTTGTGGAGATGTCCAGCCAAGTAGATGAGCCCCGATGCCCATGGCGTGAGACCAGCCTCAGAGCCACCCATTACCTCAGCATCATAGAAGGATAAGATCTCAACTCCTTTCTGTTCCCCTCTTTGCCTCAGGTCATCCTCAAAGGGGTCCATGAGGATGATCAGTCTCAGGCCTGGAGTGAGGCCCTTCTCCACATTTTCTAGCAGGACCGATGCCTTTTTGGGTGTATCACAGATCACCATGGCAATATCAGCTGAAAGCAGAAATACAGCCAGAGGTCATCTCCCTGCTCTGCTGTGCACCTGGCTGCCTTGTAAGGAGGAAGGGATTTTTGGAAATTTCAAAGCTAGTGGGTCCCCCAAAGGATATTCATCATGTCTGCAAATCGGCTTTGTAATGCATGAAACCTGAAACAGTCCACTGAGAATAAAGGAGCTTAACTGAAGCAGAAACAGTTCCTGTGTGTGCTGCCAACACAGTTTAGTCTCTAGAGAAACCACAAACTCCTCCTGCTTAAGAACATAGTCGACTTCAGGCTGAATGGCTTAGGTGTGGTCCTGCCGAAGTGTTTTACTTGGGAGGGGAAGGGGGGAAGAGAAAGGAGGGGGCAGGTGGGATTCTAGCAGACAGGCATTTTGTGATTCTAAATGTTAGCTTTTGCTTTGATGCTGGCTTATGCAAATAGAAAACACCTGATTGCGCCTATAGTTCGTGGGTCTTCTTACTTGATCTACTGTTTGCAACAGAAATAACATCTTGGGTATGTGGAAGGGCTGTTATTTGCCCTTTGAACTTGCACTTGCTTGAGAATGGTAGCTTTTTCTGCACACTCACCATAAACATTGGTTCATGCCAGTTAACTGTACTGACTTCCATTTACAAGAGTAGGAACTTAGACGGCAGTTTCACAGTGATGAGTCACCCACTCTGGCCTTTTCTCCAGTGCGGCCAAAGTAAGTAGCCTGGTCCTCTAAACTGCATTGTCAGACTATGTCGCCTTAAAGCATTTCATTGACTCTTCTGTCGGTGCCTCGTGGGCCTTTTGTAACTACCCTGTAAATTACATCGTAGCTACTACAAGACAGGAAAGACGTGAGCATTTTTCTGGTCACAGCCTTCCTAGTCTGCTGACTGGGAAGCAGATATTGAGGAATTACTCAGCTTTAAAGAGAATCGAGTTATAATGGAATAGTAAAGTTTTACCCTTGTTGATAATGTATATGACGGCTTCTGCTCCCAAGGTATCATACAGGGGGACGGCTACCATGGAGTACGTGTAGCAAGCTAGCTCAGAGATGATCCACTGCATGGAGAGAAGGTCAAGTAAGGACTAGAGAACACTTTGAAGAGGAAAAGTATTAACTTAGTCATTTAGGCAACACATGATTTTGTGGTTCCTTTGTGTTTAAAAAAAAAAAAAAATCACTGTGGGGCCCTAGGGACTACCGCTGCTAATGCTACAAAATACAGTTAAATAAAGGAGATAAGAGGCTCAGAAATAACTATAATACAAGGCTGGACCAGGAGACAGAGGTAGAGTGTGATGAGTTCTAGCCATAAGAGGTCTGGGAAGCATTAGGGAGCTTCAAGGAGGCAGAAGTCACTTTCAGGGGTGGCGTAAAGGCTCTCTGGGGCTGCTTTGGGGGAAGTGATGAAAATGGTGCAGGACTTTGAAAGGACTGGTAAGTTTTGGTTGGAAAGGTGGAGGCAGCGAAGGCATTCAGGGAATGAACCACGGTAGGATAGCATGACATCAATGTATATACATCAGGAAACATGGAGAGGGACAGGAAATGAGTCTAGATGCTATGGGCTGAATTGCAGCCCTAACTCCCAATGCCACTCATTTTGGAGATAGGGCCTTTAAGGAGGCAATTCAGGTTAAATGAGTTCGTTAGGTGGGTACAGCCCAATATGAGTAGCGTCCTTCTGAGAAGAGGAAGAGACACCTGGGACAGGCAGAAAAGGTCATGTGAGGACACAGTGAGAAGGCAGCCGATCGCAAGCCAAAAAGAAAGGCCTCAGGAGACACCAAGCTGGCTGCCACCTTGATCGTGGATTTCCAGCCTCCAGAACTGTGAGAAAATATATTTCTGTTGTTTAAACCGCCAGTTTCTAGTCTTTTGATATGGCAGCCTCTCTGACGAACACATTAGGTTTGGTGTTTAGTTCCTAATTGAGGCTGGGTGTAACAAATTAATTCTAATCATCTTAATGTCTAAAATATGCTTTCAATGGCCAGTCTCACTAGCAATGGATGCCTTGGTTTACTTGGTACAACATGCAAGTTCCGATTCTGACATGAATCTATCCCTCTCTAGAACACCCTCAAGCCCTTATTGGCCAGCCCCTTTCAGCTTCCCTATTTCCCTCGAGCAACAAACAGACTGACTTAAAATGGCTCTTAGTGGGCTGGGAAATAAGAGAAGTCCAGTCACTAGCTTAGAGCACTACACATTCAGCCAGGGATTAAGGAGGCCCTGAGTTGTACTTTTTTCAAGGGGAAGAATATTTAAAGAAAATGAGATCTTTAAATAGCTTTGGTAAGTCATCAACGAGTGTCAGAGTGCTGGATTGGGGGTGGGCTTAAAGTCTTTAGGCTTAGCCCTGATTCATTTTCTGGAGTTAACTTCAACATGGTTACCTCGGGCCGATTCTGAGCAAAGATGCCAACAAATTGGTCTTGTGATGGCTTATATCCTTTATGCAAGAGACAGGAGCCCAGGTACTCTGCTCGATCAGACACCTACAAAAGAGAGAGAAAGAAGGCTGGTGGTGGTGGGAGGGCACAACAGTCAAGGCCCAAAGGAGACCAAATTAGCTCAGGATATCATATTAGCAAAAGAATTTATCCCAAACAGGGGCCTGACTTACCTGTTTGTAGGACAGCCATCTGTAGGGCTGGTTTGGTTTTCTGTATCCCAAGCAAGGCCCATTGTCTAAAAACATAACATTGAAAGAACATCAGCTCCATTTGCAAATCCGTTGGACCAGAGAAGGTAAAAGGGAATTAGGAAGAGACAAAACACAAAAGATAAATCTCGTTAGAATGTGACCTTCTCTTATGTGCCAAGGAAATTCAAAGACAGTAAGTGCTCAGCTCTCAAAAGCAGTTGGAGTCTTACAAACTACACCTGAAACACTGAGGAAATTCTACAGAGCTGGGGTGGCTCAGCGTTGGCATATGTGACCCCCATGGTAACAGGCATTTGGAGAAAGCCATGAACATGGACTAGCCCACATAATGTGATCAAGTCAAAGTCCACAAGTAAACACAACCTGAATTGGATAACCCTGGACTGAGTTTCCCTATGATTAAAAAAAAAAAAAGTATGCTTATAAAAATATAGAAAAAAATCAAAATATGAGTTGTCAATAATGTTACATAAACACCATTATTACCACTAATATTCTTTTCATAGTTCGTTTGCATAGTTCTATAGGGTTATGATATATATATTTGCTGCCCTTTTCCTGTTTGATATAAACATTCCCATGTTATTATTTATTCTCTACAGAGATTTCAGTGGCCTTATTATGGCCAACTGATGAAGGGTTCTACTGTAGTTTACTGTCTCTCATTGCGGATATTTAGATCGTGTTGAAGTTTGACACCTTAAATACTGCTATGGTAAATATTTTCAAATTAATCATTTCAAGCTTAGAACATTTCCTTAGAGCAGAGTCCCTAAAACGAAATAATTGAGCTGGGAGGTGGGGGAGGTTGGAATGGCTCAGGTTGTTGATACCTGGCACCACATTGCTTAATAAGACCCATGGTGACAATTTGCTTTTCTCCCACCAGCAACATATCAAGGCATAGACACGAAATAGTATCTTTTTAACGTATCTTGTGATTTGATAGGTTTAAAAAATTACTTTAGTCTAAGTTTCTTTAACAGCTACTAAAGTGGACCTTTCCCTTGTTTGCTGAACTTGACTTACTCTCATCTGTTAATGCACTTTGCCTGCTTATAGGAGAGTATCTCCTGAAATACCCAGGCTCAGCCGCAGAGACTAAGGAACAAGCCTAACTGGCTGAAAAGCCAAAATGAGACCAAGTTATAAATAGAAAAGCAGAAGGGAGGGGAAGGCTCCCCTTTTACTTGACACAGAGACTCTAGCCAAATTGCCAAGAGAAATCCAGATCTTGACAAAAGAACCATTCAGAGAGAGGGCTACTAGGAATTCAGAGGTAAATATGCAAACTTCCAGACTAAGGGGCAGAGGAAAACGGAAAGGAAGCAGGAAAGAGATAGCTGCTCTGATTCAAGAGAGATAAAAAATAAAGGAGGAGACTGTCCACAGGAAACGGTAGGACATTTTCTTCCTGCTCAAACAGTTGCATAAAAGCTCAAGAAGTCAAGTCACAGACTGTAATTTTCCATGAAGCCGGGCAAGTCCTGTCCTGTTAGATGCTCACAGCCACTGCTTCAGCCCGGAGTGTGTGCCTCGATGGTCTACCCATGAGATGGCACAAACGTGAATTGCTAGTGACAGCTGCCATGTATGGAAAGCTTTACTCCATGCTAGGCACATTCGCTCATTTGGTCTTTGTAACTATTGCTATCCTCATGGTCCTGAGGGTCAGAAAGGACTGGGACGGCTTCTTCAAGCTCACTCAATAAGTGGCAGAGCTGATGAATGTGGGGGGGAAAACACACTGCATCTCTCCTTATCACTTCCCTGTGGGTGAAAACTCACGCAGAGGCTCATGGCCAAGGGACAAGTCCAGTAATTGGCCCAAAGGGACACCAGCTGAGGTCTCATTCAACTCTGTGCCCTAATCAGCTTCAGCCTAATTAGCCAAAGTCCCGATCAGGCAACAGGCTAGCCTTTGCTTACCTTACTCAACTCTGATCTAGCTTCTGTTTCATGGTGCAGCCACCTACAAAGAGCCCAGCCATTAATAGCTTGGCAGAATTGTTGCCCTAAGCTGGGTAGAACTGCAACTCTGGCATTGCAGACCCCTCCCCCCAACCAAGCTTTGTTAAAAATTCAAATTCTTAGGTCTCACTACCTGGAATTCTGATTCAGGTGAACAAGGTGCAGCCAGATCTACATTTTAAACATTCTCCACAGGTGACTCTCAACACAGACCACCTGCTGGGTAGGGGTGAAAGGTATGTGTTAGGGCTGAAGAATTCAGTTCCAGTTGGGATCGGAAGTGTCATTTTTCTATGGAAATTGGCCAGATTGTTCCTGTTTGCTGACATGAGAAGCCATTTTAAGTTTATCTGTTTGGTTTTAACTTAGTATTAAAAAAAAAATCTCTAAATGAAGTATCTTATGCACCATTTTCTAGTTCTGTACCTTCAGAATGTTCCTGAACCTCTCTGAGTTTCTGTTTCCCCATTTTAACAGGAACTAATCCCTGAGGATTAGGGGAGATTAGTAGATAGTATAGGAGCAGTACCTATTACATAGTTAGCACTTGAGAGGAATTGGCTATTAAATATCATCATGGTCATAGTTAAAGACAGAAGAGAAAGGGGGGGATAAGAAGTCACATAGGCAAGCCTGTGCCTGGACAGGATGTCACCCCAAAGAATCAAGATGTAGGGAGAGCTATAAACCAATAGATTTTAAAAGGAAATCAGTACACCTACCTTGGTGTTCAATGATAAAAAGTGTAAGTACCGAGGCTTGTTATGTTCCAAGTGAACCTACCAAAACCCATGTGGTGGCAACTCTAAGAAAGTCCAAAAGATAATTGTCTTCTGAGACTCTAAGAGCAGCAGCCTGGGCGAGTGGTGTGGTGTTGGGGTCAGGACAAGCTAACAAGTCAGGAGGCCTCAATGCTAATTCTGGCTCAGGTTCTGCATCTGGAGAATTGCATTTATGAAAAGCGTGTTCCTAAACAAATATGATGAACTAATGTACAAGCGAGGTCATCAAAATACTTTCCATACACATCACTGTTGACTGTTTAACAGCAACTTGGCAGGGAAGCTCTTGTGTTGAGAGAGGGACAGATTCAGAGAGGCAAAGTGGTCTGCCCAAGGTCACACAGCTAGAAATAGAAGGACTGGGTTTCAAACCCCAGGCTGTCCTGCACTGCTTCCTGATACTGTGATTTTCTGATCCCCTCATCTATCCCGACACTGCTAATGTCCCCTGCATTTTGTATGTAGGAATTCTACCCAGATCACCACTGGGGTTTTAGAAGTGAGGCAGGGAAGCTGAGGGATAGAACAAGTCCCCAACTTGGTCTTCTCATAGGCAAGGTGAGCCTGCCAGGCTTACCAGACACAGCAAGTCCTCTTTTGAAAACTTCATACATCGTCTTGGCATCTGAGAAGTAGTAGCTTAGCAAGTCATTGTTCTTCTGGCGAGCATTCTTCCGTGCTCCTCCCTAAGACACAAGGCCAAGTTTAGGCCACACCTGAGTCTCTCCCCACCCTTTCCAAACCCTTATGAATTGAACTGAAGAGAATGTAAACACTGACTGTTGAGGTCACAGGTATTACACCCCATCCTAGTCAATCAATCAATTCTTTAAATCTCAAAATTGAACTATCTTCACATCATAGAAACCCGGAGACTGTCACAGTTATGTTCACACACACACACACACACACACTCACTCTACATGAGAGATAATATTATAGGGTTTTTTTGTTTTGTTTGTTTGGTGTGTTTTTTTTGTTTTTTTTTTTTACCTTATATCTCCTCAGGAAAACATAGCACTATTGAGTTTCTATTACATTCTATGGAGAACTTCAATCTTAGGTCACAGTGTTAGGAGCTCCTGGTTTTGATTCCATAAGCTCTCTTTGAAATGACCTATATAATATTATAGTTTTTTTATCCTTTAAAAGTTCATATCAAGTTTAAATATCTATGAAATGCATACTGTGTTCTAGGCACTGTGTAAATACTGTAGATGCAAAGTAAGTTAAGACACAATCGCTGGCTATGAGCATAAGTGGAAGTTTTGGGAGTGAGGGTGGGGTGAGAAGGGAAAAACACACAAATATAATACTGTGATGTACATGCTGAACTAAAATGTATGTTTTGGGAGACTAATGAAGCAACCTATTCTGCATTATGTAGAAAAGGTACAGTGAAGAAATGATATTTCAGTGGAGACTTTGAAGATAAGTAAGCATTGACCAAGAAGATGTGAAATTGGTAGAGGCGAGGGAAAGAATAATTCAGAGAGACGGAATAGCCTGAGCAAAGGCTCAGAGGCCAGAAAACATATTGCAGAGTCTGGTGGGCAGCTAGAGAGCAAGGTACTTGAGAAAAAGGGATCAGCTAGGGATATATCTAGAAATGTCAGCTGGGACTCCGGGGTCAGGGTCTCATGTGGATCTTGGAGCTGCAATGGAGCTACAGGCATGGGCCAACCCTCATGAAAGTTGGTCTAGAGAGAAACAGGCGTCGATTAAATAAGCACACTAAAGGGGCCATTCAAGTACAGGCTAACACATGAGGCTATAGCAAGAGATGTGACTTGTCTAGAGCATCAGGGAAGATTTCCATGAGATGTCAAGAGGTCAAAAAAGAAAGTTCCTTGTCTAGCAAAGGAAGGCAGGGGCTTGCCATCTGTTTTTGTAGACGGGCTGAGGAAGCAGGAAGAATGAAAAGCGACTCCGGCTCAACTTCAGACAACTGGGTAAGAAGAGATGCATTTAACTAAGACAGAGCAGGGAGGGAAATGAGAAAGGGTAGGAAGCACACATGCATATATGTATGTGCGTGTGTGTNTGCATTTAACTAAGACAGAGCAGGGAGGGAAATGAGAAAGGGTAGGAAGCGCACATGCATATATGTATGTGCNCAGGGAGGGAAATGAGAAAGGGTAGGAAGCACACATGCATATATGTATGTGCGTGTGTGTGTGTGTGTGTGTGTGTGTGTTTAGAGAGGAGCTACACAACACAGACACTCATTGACCTTGAGGTACTTGAGTGTCACTGAGGTGGACTGGGGCTCAGGGGAGAGGTTGGATTTGGGTGTCATAGCCTTTTAGGTATGTTTTTAAGTGGTAGGTGAGGAAGGGTTTTCTCAGGTGTGAGGAATTAAAGCAGGGATTGACAGACTGGTCTGGGCTCACATCCGGCTGGAACCTGCTTTTACAAATAAAGTTTTATTGGAACACAGCCACGCTCATTCATTTCACATATCGTCTGGTGCGTTCATGCTCCAGCAACAGAGTTGAGTAGTTGCAACAGGGCCCATACGGCCTGCAAAGCCCGAACTCTCCAGCCTGTACGGGACATGTTTGCCAAGCCCTGCATTGGAGGAGCCAAGAGGTGGTGATGCTGAAACTCTAGGATGGGGAGAGGAAACAACCTAAGTGGCAGAGAAAGGCTGTCTTGGAATTAGGAAGAAATTTCATTGAAGAATATTATGAAAGGCAAAAGGAGAAATTTTAAGAAGTCTCAAGTCAATCGAGAGGAAGGCTGAAGGAGAAATTAAATTTGGAAGTGAGGTTGTGAGTGATGCAGAGAAGTTTGGGGAGATGGTAGCAGTAAAGGTCTGACGTCAGTGGGTAGAAGTTCAAATGAGGAAATCAACAAACAGACTGCTCTTAGGGAACTCAGGTGGGAAAGGAAGGGCTGGAAAGAGAAGCAGCCTGAAGCAGCCGGTCAGCAGGAGAGGACAATGTCTTCAATGAAGGACCTACGAACGCACCAGAGTAAAAGGGAACGTGGTGGACAGTGCAGGTGACTCCAAATCTGAGTCCCAAGTAGAGGGAAGAAGTTCCATGAAAGGTCAGAAGGGGGTCACCTTTACAAAGCAACAAGAATTCTTTCTTTCTCCAAAAAGCGCTGAAGATGAAAAATGAAGAAGAGAACATTCTAGGAGCTTTCCCTTTGCTCAGAGATAGACAAAGCTGTATGATTTGCTGAAAGCTGGGGGAACTGAAGGGAAAAGTTCAGCTTCTGCTTGTCTTAAGAATGAGAGTTAACTCAAAGCTGGAATTTAACTAAATAACTCACCATTTTCAGACAGCGGGCATCTCAATAAAAATATTCTCCTGCCCCCAAATCCTGAATCTATCATCTACATCCATGGTTTTCAACCTTTTTTCATCTCATGGCACATATAAACTGATTACTAAAAGTCTGCGGCACACCAAAAAATACGGTTTTTGCTGATCTGACAAAAAAAATAAGTATAACTTTGATTCATTCACACTGGATGGCTATTGCTGTGGTGGCTGTTGTCATTTTTTTATTTGATAATCTAAGGGAAAAGAGGGTAGTTCCCTTGACTAAATAGTCAGATATTGCATGTAAAAAAAAAAATTCCTGTGGCACACTGGTTCAAAATCGCTGATTTATAGCAAAGGGGTAGATAGTAAATAGGCTTTGTGGAACACATGATCTATCCCTTTTTAAAAATTTGTATTTTACATTTTTACATATATCTTTAAAAATGTAAAAACCAGCCCGGCTGGGCGTGGTTCAGTGGTTGAGCATTGACCTCAGATCCAGGAGATCGTGGTTTGATTCCTGGTCAGGGCACATGCCTGGGTTGGGTGCTCGATCCCCGACGGGGGGGTGCAGGAGGCAGCCGATCAATGACCCATCATTGATATTTCTATCTCTCTCTCCCTCTTTCTTCCTCTCTCTGAAATCAATAAAGATATGTTTTTCAAAAAAAGGCAAAAACCATTCTTGCCTTGCTAGTCCCATTTTTAAAAGGTGAATTTTTCCTGTGGCTTGTAGTTTGACAGCCCCGATCTAGATTACTGGCATCATAAGAGCTAGCTGAGGTTTCATTTTTATTATAAAGGAAAATGTGTCATCAGTAGAAGTTTAAATTTATAGATTTTTCCGTTGATCACTAACCTAAAAGGCTTACTTTTCCATGCTACACCCGCCTCCTTCGTGAGTTATCCCAATGTCTTGAATTACACACAATTTGTGTTTTATCAGTGTTGAACTAAAACGGCAATGGGTAAGTTACCTCAATTCCCACTGACTGGTTGTTGAGATCGATGACAGGCACGGCTGGGTGAGGTCTGTTGATGAGCCACAGGAAGATGGCAGCTCCGACAGTCAGGATGCAGATCAGTACGGGGGTTGGAAGTGGGGAAAACAAGAAGTTAAAGATAAAAAGCATCTTCGTGAAGAGCAGCAGGAAATGGAGGCCTTAAAAAAAGAGAAGGAAACAGAAAGTTAGAGGAAATGACTATCTTTTTACTCAATAGTTCTAGGTTTATAGAAGGGAACACGCACGTGCGCNCTATCTTTTTACTCAATAGTTCTAGGTTTATAGAAGGGAACACGCACGTGTGCACACACACACATACACACACATNGATAAAAAGCATCTTCGTGAAGAGCAGCAGGAAATGGAGGCCTTAAAAAAAGAGAAGGAAACAGAAAGTTAGAGGAAATGACTATCTTTTTACTCAATAGTTCTAGGTTTATAGAAGGGAACACGCACGTGCGCACACACACACATACACACACATATACCACACACACACAGCTTCGACTCCTCCAAACAGCCAGGGTTGGACCTCTCCAGGAGCAGAATCGCTCCCACTGTTTCACCTTAGCAATGTTGAAAATGACAGAATGCCTTCTTCCGTACCCCGCTTCCACTTGACTGTCCTCCCACAAGGTGGGGAAGATCAAAGGAAACCCGTTAATCATTTCCCAATTTTGAGAAAGGACTGTCCTTTTATTTCTGGTCCACAAAGCCTAGAAGAAACCGTTCTGGACCCAACATAAGCTGGTAGTCAGAGCAGGGTGCTCCAGAGATCTTACCCTGCCCAGGCAGAACCAAAGGTCAAGAAGGACTCTTCCGGCTGGATTTCCCTAGCATAAACCAAACAGAGAAGGGGACCTCTGTAGAGATGACCCCCACAGATTTTAGAAATCAAGTGCTCTACATGAAGGACATTGCCTGCTGGCCAGATATGCCTCACTCATTGCTTTCTCATTTTTTAAACATCAGGAGGGGCTCAGAGATCAACGTCATAACTTGCTATGTCCAACCAACACTCCTCTGAGGAGCTCTTTTTCATTGGAGGCAACATGAATCAGGTATGCAGAAAGGGCGCTGGAAAATAGGCCTGACAAATGGTGGCAGGTGAGCATTGAGGATCTTGGCCAGGAAGAGATCTCAAGTAACCAAAGACAACAAAGGCTTCTTCCAACACAGCTTTTCTTGTAGTTTCCAGCCAAGGGGGGCAGCTTGAAACTACTCTAATGGAAGGGACTAAGGTTTGGGCAGGTCCTAGGAACTAAGTCTTGCCTCACAGCTTGCACACTGATGATAACAGCAGCAAACACATGAGCACTGACTATATGCCAAGCCCTGGGCTTGTAACAGAATGAATTGTGCCATCTCCCCAACCCCATCTTGTTCAAGCTTCCCTGTTCCCGTGGCCTTCAGACTAATAGCTCCAGCTATGTCTCGCACAGAGGTATTGTAAACAATAGAGAAATTCTGCTTGCCGCTTGAAATTTATAAAAACAGCCCCTCCCATTTTTCCTTTCCTTGACATAAAAGAAGCTCGAACTCTGTACTTTCTAAAGATGGATTCGAGGAACCATTAGGTTTCCCACTTTCTCAGTTCGCGCCTTCTCATCAATAAACACTTCCTCACTCCAAACTCTGACATTTTGAATTTTGACCTTTCTAAGTGTTGGATCCACAGACATTGGACCAATGACAGGATGAGTTGTTTGCATGAATTACCTAGCTTAATCCAACCAATGCCATCAAGTAGCATTTTACAGACAAGAATATAGAAGCTCCTAGGGGTAAAGTGACTTGTCCAAGCTCACTTACCATTTCCATTGCTGTGTCCCCATTAAAATCTATAAAACCACAACTCAGTTTTTCCTTATAGAAACTAGCCGCCAAGTTCAAGGAGACTGTATTTGTCTGGCACCTTACAGGTGACAGCAAAGGAAGATCAGAATTTACATTCCTCAAAGTTTACTGCAATGCCCTATGGAACAGTATCTCAGAGAGGAGGCCAAACATTCACATTCAATATCAAAACAGCAAAGTAAGCCCAATAAAAAGTTTTTATCAGATCAAGATCATAGTCGCCCTTTGAACTGTGGGGCAGCTGCCATTAGCAGGGATCTGGAACTTTTTCCTTCAGGTAACACACTGCACTCCCTGCCAGCCGAGGCTGTACAAAACTTAGGAATTTTGTGCGGGAGGGAGAACAGTCCCAAGGAACAGCCCCTGAGTCACCCATCATTTTTCTGCCCCCCTGATTGGTTTATCACCTGAATTTGGAATAGTCCCTCTCCATTTTAGGGAGGAAAATTGAACTTCCAGAGACTGGGATGACAGCCTCCAGCTCCTGGGTTTCTTCCACATTGTGTTTGGGGGAAGGAAAAGAAGACAAAGGAAAACCTAAGCGAGGCCCCACAGGTGCTGGCTTATGTAACAATAGGTGCCATTGTGACCGCCCACCAGGGTTCGAGAGCAGGGGCCTTTTGAATCCAGCCTTACCTGGAGTGACACTGCAGGGGACAGAGCCCTCGGGAGCCGGCCTACAGAACGCGACTCTGAGGCCGCCACCCCAGCCCAGGCCCAGAGGGGACGGTTGTGAAGTGGGCAGAGCAAGGAGCGGTGCCAAAGGGAGGAGAAGCCTGCTTTGCCCTCGCCCATCCTGCCCACCGGCAGCCCCTCCCCTCAGCCCGTGACACTGCCACCCGTCTGGTAGTGCCTTAGGCTCCAGGATACGTCTCTCTGCCCCAATGCCACTGTCAAATTAAGAGGTTCTTACCTGCACCCCCCTTCTCGGCTATGGGAACAAAGTGCCCCACTGAGGACTTTGCCCTCTTCATACAGACGGCAGATTTAATGGGAGACTTTGCAAACAGCGGCTTTAAAAGAGGGTCTAAAGGTGAAATTTGTGTTCGCTTGTGGCAGTATGGATGGGGGGGAGGAGAGAGGGCAAACAGCCTGGCAGGTAACACAAAGGGAGGGGAGAAAGTGGGGGGAGGCGGCACCTGCTGTCAACCTTGACTGATTGTTATCATGTGGTCATGTGAACCCGAGGTCACCAGATGGTTAGATTTTTTTTTTCTCCCTAGAAAACCCGGAGCGCTGGATTTTTATGAAACCTCACTTTTAACTATTGGCTCAAATAGAAAGTGTCTGGTTTGGGATTAACAAACACACACGTGGTTTCGCCTGGCCCGTGGTCTGTCCGTAAGCACTTCTTTTAGACACACACCGGTCACACTGTCCACAAACGGAACGCGACTGGCCCCTTCCTTGCAAACAAGGGAGATGTTGACGAACGCAAGGCCCGTTTCAGAACCAAAGCTCCCGCTTGCACCGGATTTCAGAAGGCACTGGGGGATGAGCCGAAACGACCTGGTATCCAGTTCAAACAGGACAGGCACAGAGTTTCAGACGGTCCCTCCCTGCTTCCCCATATTTAAAAAAAAATGAGGTAAAATTCAAATAACATAGGATGAATCATCTTAAAATGTATACAACTTAGCAACATGTAGTTCATTCATTGTGTAACCAGCACCCCTAATAAGTTCCAGAACATTTTCATCACCCCAGAAAGCACATTCTGTGCCCATTAAGCAGTCACTCCCCCATTCCCTTCTCCTCCCAGGCCCTGGCAACCTCAAACTTACTTTCTGTTTCTACTGATTGGCTAATTCTGAATATTTCATATAAATGGAATCAGAGGATATGTGACTTTTTGTGTGTGACTTCTTTCACTCAGTATAATATTTTCAAGATTTATCCATGTTACAGATTGACAGGCTTCAGAGGGGAGGCGGGTGGGGGACTGGAAGAGATTAACCTAGAACTTGTATGCATATGGGCACAGCCCATGGACGCAAACAGTAATGTGGTGAAGGCCTGGGATGGGGCAGGGGCTGGGTGGGAGAGGGGTAAAAGGGGGGGGGAATGGGGGACGTGTAATACTGTCAACAATGAAAACAAGATTTATCCATGTTATGTACCAGTTCTCCATCCCTTCTTGTGGCTGAAAATTATCTTTTCCTGCGCTTATTGGCCATTTGCATTTCTTCTGTAAAGAAATGGCTATTCCAGTCCTTTGCCCATTTTTAAATTGAATTGTTTCTCTTTCTCTTGTTGAGTTGTAAGAGATCTTTATGATTCATTAGTATTTTCTGCCATTCTGCTGTCTTTTCACGATCTTGATAGTCTTTTTAATGCACAGAGTGCACATGTTTTTAACCTTATAATGCTACCTACTGCTAGAGAGGATTCGTGCCCATATCATGTAACTCTCACCGCGAACGGGGGAAACTGAGGGTCTGAGAGCGAGACCTCCGGGTTGGGTCACACCATCACTGGACTGGGAAGCTGTGGTAACCATTCTAGCCTTTAGAATCTGTTAACACTTACATACGTGTTCAAATAAATGAGAGGAAATGCCACCATCGCTTCTGTCACATGTCCTGCGTCACTCAAACTACGACCCTGTTTTGGTCACTTCACAGAATCCCTGCAAGCGGCAGGCGTGACGGCATTTCCTCTTCCCTTTGCGTCACTCCTGGTTGGGAAAGCGCGGGCAGGGAGCGATGCAACAGCAGGAAAGCAAAGAGGAAGGAGGGTTGCGTTCCGCGGCTCTGGGAGCTCCCGTCCAGGTTATCCGAAGGTGGCTGAGCGAGCCGCGGGCGGGCGCATTGGGACGGTCCCGCGTGGAGAGCTCCCTCCACTTTCTGATGCGGTCAGTGACGTGCCTCTGCCCTGCACCCCTGGACGCCCATGTCCTCAGCCACTGCCCTTGGTGCACTCCGGGGCCCCCATCGTTTGGTGGTATGGATGGCCACAGCCATGTCACCCATCCTCTGGCACCTAACCTGATTAATTCCCAAGCTAGCTGAAAGTCACCTTGTGCCTTCAGACCTGTTTGCAAGCTCCCAGGACCAGCCTCGGGGTCTAGGTTACGACCATCCTGTATTCAGCTTCGGGTTTTGCTTCTTTGTAGATTTGGAACAACATCTCTTCCTTAAGTCTCATTTTCTTTGCATAAAGTCCCTAAATAGCCCCTTCTACCCTAACATTCAAGTTTTGGTCAACCACAAGTCCATGTCTACCTCAGAGCCTCTGTGTTTACTCTTCCCTTTGCCTGGATCACTGTGCCCCAGATCTGCAATGGCTGTGTATGGCTTAT